GAAACCACTCACAGCCATCCGATTGCAGTGACGCCGCCGCATCTTCCGGCGAACCGTCAGATACATAGCTGCTGAAGCTCTCAACATCTGACTTCCTGAGTCCCAACGGATTCCAGGGAGAGACCGACGAAATATGTATGAGCAGGCAATAAGCGCTAAACATTCGTTCTCGACGTAACATAGCGTTCATGAGCATGTATTGAGACATCATACGAAGACCAGGTGTCAGATAATTACAGTACGAGTTGCAGACGCAACCAGTACTCGTAGATGTAGTACAGTAAGTAGACAGATGTGGCGAGCTAAGAACGGGATGTGTTAAGGCTACAGGTGGGTGGATGCAGAGGAGTCGAAATGTCCGGGGCGCAATGAAGAGGCTCTACAGTACGATTAATACGAAGTCCGCACGAGACGAGATGCATGATGCAGGATGGAGGGAGATGTATGTGCAGATATAGGAGATGGAACGAGAGACGTGAGCATATGAGAGCAAAGCGGCGATATGTGTCATGTACGTGGATGGCAATGCGAGGGGGGCATATTTATGGATAAATACCAGTCGAGGTCGTCCGAATCCAAGTCCAGACCCTGGGGTCCTAGTCCGTGTGCACGGGGCCGGTGACCCGTCCCCGTAGCACTGCGCGAGGTGTGTATAACACCCCGCAGCCCAGGGCGACACGCAGTTTCCAGTTCCGAGCCGGACAGCGGGCGTCCTGGCACCGGCACTGTTCACTGGTCGCAGTCAAACTCCAGATCTGTCGCGACGTCCTCCCACGCGTCCATAGTCGCCAGGAGCTTCTGAGTCTTCGCACGCACGTCGACGTATGCGTCACGCCCAAGCACGAGCCATAGCGGCCACTCGCGGCCCGCGGCGCGGCCCTCGCCCTTGACGACGTCGACGACGAGCTCCATGGCCTTCGCGGGGTCGCCCTTCTCGTGGCCCGCGATCCCAGCGAAGCGCGCCATGCCGGTATTCCGCATATCGTCGTATGCGGGTATGTGGGTGTTGATCGTGGCCGGGTACGCGTGCACGCCCTCTGTGCGGAATGCACCGGGGGCGACGATGAGGACGCGAATGCCGAATGGCCGGAGCTCGCTCGCGTATGTCTCGCCGACAGCGTGTACGGCAGCTTTCGAAGCAGCGTAGAGACCGGCGGGCTGAAATCAAAATAGGAGCATGAGTGACCGGGTTTACGACCAGAATTCGGAACAGAAGCACGCACCGAGACCTCTGCGCGCCACGCAGACCGGGATCCTAGAATGACGACCGTGCCGGAGCGGCGCTCGCGCATGTGTGGCAGCACGGCGTTTGTGACGTTCAGGACGCCAAAGAGGTTCGTCTGAAACTGCGTGAGCGCGGCGAGGGCGCCTCCCTCCTCGAGGACGGCCTTGACGCCGTAGCCGGCGTTGTTGACGACGACGTCTATGCGGCCCCAGACGGCGAGGGCCTCCTTGACGCGCTTCTGCACGAGCTCGGCCGAGTCGGAGATGTCGAGCTGGAGGAGATGGAGGCGGGAACGTTCGGGTGCAGGGAAGACCGCGTGGAGCTTCTCGAGGTTGCGGGCCGTCGCGACGACGCAGTCGCCTCGTGCGAGTACTGAGGCTACGAGACGCTTGCCGAAGCCTGATGAGGTGCCTGTAGGGGTGCAGAGAAGAAGGCGGAGTGAGTTGCTATAGCGGGAACGCGACGGCCACGAGAGATCGACGCACCTGTGATAAGCCAAACTTTCTGGTGGAAGCCGCCCATGGCTGTGTCAGAGTAGTGCGCGTGAGTGAGGAAGGGGATGGTAGGGGAAGGAGACAGAAGAGGATGCAGGGGAGTCACGAGGACTTTGGCTGGAGATGAGAAGATGGATGGATGGGTGGATGGCGGACGGGGAGGGTATAAGTAGGTTCGTGGCACAGGTGTGACGGATGCGCTCCGAAGTCTGTGTCGGGGGCGGGTGGGTTTGCAAAATAGAGTATTCGCGCGGACGGGGGACATACGCGGCACGGACAGCCCTCGAATGATGGCCAGGAGCTGCTGCCCGCGCGGGAGTCCCAGATCACGCGAGATCCAGCTGTCCACTCCCGAAACGCACCCATGCCCAGATTGACGCGCCCGATGACTCACGGAGCGGCAGTGCTCAGACGAGATCCAGCATCCTCGAGGCACGATTTCCTCAAGCCACGTCCGCGGCCGACGGCGTACTCGACATCGTGTCATGAACACCAGAATCCCCGTCATGCGCGAGCAGATTGCGCACATCAGCGCACACATCAGGGATGGGAAACTCGTTCGGGAAGAAGGCGGCGAAGGTAGCCAATTGGCCAAGTATCGCGCCGCATCGCAGGTGATGAACTGCTACGGCGAGCGTGACAGACCCACACCAGCCATCGGGCGACTCGAGTCATCCCGCCCCTCCGCTCACCAATCCGAAGCTATGTCATCCTCGCCCTAGCCCAAAGCTCGTCTAGCGTCGCAAACATCGACTCACGTTACAAAGTTCCCGGTGGCATTTGCATTCGCGTAAGCGCGTGGGCTTCGCGTAGCCAAAGACGTCCCGGTCGGACAGCGAGGCAACTTTCCCCACACAGCCATGCCTCGCGGCCAGCGCTGATCTAACGCTTTGTCAGGAAGCTCACAGTACGAGGAACCCGTCCCAACGAGCTTCAGGCGGGAGAAGTCGTGAACCTTGCAGATGCCAACCGTGAAGCAACGATACGGACGAAACCTGACGTACGGGTACACATCGTGCGCAACTGAGCCCACATGGCGATATTGCGCTGCGGTCACCGCTCGGTGCCGACCCCGACCTTCGCTTCAAACCTCATAACGGACACAAGGCGAAGGCGCGGGTCCTAGGCATCTGCTGCGCCCGGAACTGGCAGGCTCCATTTCATACATACCAACCACATGCGCAGACCCATGCTCGCCAATACGGCTGATATGAAGCTTGTACTCGTCTTGGATGACGGCTCAGCCGAGGACAGCGCAGAAGCGGCGAGAAATGAAGCCTGCCGTGGATCGATGGACGACGGAGCAAGGACGGCCGAGGTGCTAGGAATGTCACATAGACGGTTTCCCAGCGCGCTTGGAGGCTATTTGGACACCCAATAGCTAGGGGGCTGCTTACCGTGCGTCGATCCTGGGATGTGTAATCGGGAGCCCTCTGGTGGGGGTATGTGCGGGTGGTTGCCAGCGACGTCCGTGCAGGTAGGTACCCGTGCCGTTCCGAAGAAGCAAGGGACGTCATCTCTGCTATGTTTGGGTGCTTCGCGGGGCAACGTGCGGATTCTCAGACGTCCCAGCGAGGGAAGGCCCTGTCAGCGGTCAAAGGTACGGTCACGTTCGCAGCTTCAAGGCAGGATTGATTAATGGCCACGCACCAACTCGGCGGATATTCATAGTTGGCTGGCCGTCACGGGTACCTGCGCTGCGCAACTTTGACATTGACACCCGCCCAACCTCTGGGCTCGCTGGTGCGATCTTCTCGCACTTGGGCGGAACCCGGACCAGACCTGGAAACATGTGCGCATGCACACTGCACCTATGCATATGCCTGTCTGTCAGTTGCAGGCGGAACAGCAGGGAACAGCTTGCAGACCGCAGACCTGAGCCTGTTCAAGTTCCACCTCGGCATGTCTCCATGTGATCCACCACAGCCGGGCATCCAGGCAAGACTGCACCCTACCGCCACCGACACGGAGAGGCTCCTCCGGGTGCTTCTCGTGTCAAAAAGTACAAGGCGAGAACCGGCCAGGAACACGCGCATTGACAGATTCGCAACATTGCGGGCGACAGGGGCCGGGGAAGCTCGACAAAAAGGTTTCTTGCGCGGGTGGCGGTGTCCGAGCATACTCACCTTCAATCAAGGTCGTCTTCTCTGCTCCCGTCGCTAACTCTGTGACCCGTGCGTTACGCGACCCTGTCCGCCTCCCGCTTGCATTCGTCCGTCACAGGCAAATGTTGATTGCCTTGAGGCGCATATACGGCTGATAGACAATCGACCTCGAGCCGCCAGATCTCGGTGCAGGGGCGGGAAATCACCGCGTTCGCGTCTGTCCGTGTGTGGGAGTCACAGGAATCCGGAAGGCGCCACTGCGATGCAACAGAGTGATATGGGTGAGACATCACAGTACTGCTGGGGCTAGAAAGGTAGACCGTCGGACACAGCGCGGGCTTGGGATGCGGTGCTGTAACCTTGTCGCAATGACCTTAGCCTGAGCTCTTGGCGCACGAAGTGGGCGCGGGTGGGGCGTGTGCCCAGTCATAGTCGCGCCGCGGACTCCGGGAGAGGCGAAGCTTCAGTGTTCAAGGGTAGTGGCGCTCTGTCTTATTACAGTAGCAGCTCGTCCAAGAGGTCTGCGACCTGATTTTGAGCCTCGACTTTCTCTGACTGCGCGCGCCGTAGCTCAGCGTCGCGCCGTTTAGCCACTTGCGCTTCGTCAGACAGCAGCAAGAGCAGCTTCATCGAGTGTATGGTCGACATGAGCGAGTTGGCAGCACGTATCTGCGCGTGCATAGAGTTGAGGGTGCGGCGAGACCGGGACGAGAGTCGGGCAGACGCACCATGGACTCCGCGCGGCACTGCGCCTGGAACGCCTCCTGTGCGACGCGGAACTTGTCCTTGTCACCGACCTGATATGGCGTGAGTCGACTATGGGGTGAAAGACGCGTCAGACACGCACCCCCGCGAGCGCGACAATGTCCACCATGCCGTCTACAAGCGTCTCAACTTCGACATCGACACGTCGGTTCCATTCTTCCTCGATCGCGTCGAGGTACTCGTCCGAATTCTGGTCAAGTAAAGGCTGAGTCTGGCGTTGTCGAAGTGCTGCCGTGGGTAGCGCAGACGGGCGAGAGACGTCGGTCTCAGCAGGAATAGACATCGTTTCGTCCCGGACAAGTCGATACAAATTCGAAAGCTAAGCCAAGGTAAGGAGAGAAGGGCAGCGGCACGCGGCACGCGGCCAATGCTCACGTACCACCTGTCTGGTCCGCTACTAGCTGTCATAACTCCCGTTTAGCTCAGTTGGTAGAGCGCGTCACTAGTACCTGGACCCCGGTCTGTAGGGCAATGACGAGGTCAGTCGTTCGAGTCGGCTAATGGGAAGTACGAAATGGAGGTCTGTTCTTTTGCGCTCTTCGCATGACGTCTCCCAGTGCAACAACTTGGACTGCCTGAAGAATGACCGACTGTCATAGTATTGTGGCCCACCTATATCTGCAATCTGATTCTGCATGATAGTCCATTGATAGTTCCTAGCCAATAGATGAGTACTGTACTCAACTGTGGCCGAACCGGTACATGGCTCAGAGTCATTCGCAATTTCGCACGATACTTACCTTTGAGAGGAGCGTGGCAAAGAAGGGCTAAGACTATCTGCGTTGCACTATTTGCCGCAAGCATCATCTCAGAGGTATCAACTTTACGCTCACGGGTACGATACAGGCTCGGGCAGATGGCCTCTGAGGCGACATCAAACCCGGCACGACCACTCCCTCTTGTTCGCAGTTCCGTATTGGCTGCGAAGAAGACGATAGCACATCTGGTACATCGCACGCCGGCTCTCACGTCTTCATCGCTGTCTGGGTCTCTCCCGGGGAAGAACACGCTATATTTCAAAGCGGAGAACTTCCAGAAAGGGGGTGCCTTCAAGTTCCGAGGTGCTAGCTACAATCTGTCTTGCCTGACGCCAGAAGAACTCGCAAAGGGTGTATGCACACATAGCTCAGGTACCCGTCCCATCACACTCACCACACTACCACCAGTACTCAGAGACACCCGGCAGGTAACCACGCCGGAGCCTTGGCCCTCGCCGCCCAGCAACGCGGAGTCAGATGCTATGTGGTTATGGTGCGCGCCCATATACCACTGAGGACCGTCCACATAATCGAGTTCGATCGACTCATCCCCGTTCCTCGTTTTCCCAGCCCAGCAACTCCGCGCAGCCCAAGATCGATGCGGTGCGCTCGTACGGGGCCTCGATCACGTTCTGCGAGCCCAACGCTCCCGCACGCGCGGCGGCGCTCGCAGCGGTGCAGGCACAGACCGGCGCGACGTTCGTCCCTCCGTACGATGCCGTGAATACGATATTGGGCCAGGGGACCGCATTGCTCGAGCTCGTGGAGCAAGTCCCGGAGACACTCGCCGCTGTTGTTGCGCCCGTCGGAGGCGGTGGACTCCTCGCTGGGACGGCGCTCGCTGCGGACGGGACAGGAATCCGCATCTTTGGAGCGGAGCCGGCGGGCGCGGATGATTGTGCGCGAGGTCTTGAGGAGGGACAGCGGCGACCGGACGCAGATGCACACACCATTGCGGATGGCCTGAGGACCCCCGTCGGGGTTTTGAACTTCCCTATCATACAGGAGAAGGTCGAGAAGGTCATCACTGTGACGGACGAGGTGCGTGGTTCTGACGGTCCAGGTCGTACCATGGCGTTTCTGTCTGACATACCGACAGGAGATCATCGAGGCCATGCGGCTCATGTGGGAGCGCATGAAGATCGTCGTCGAGCCAAGCGGTGCAACTGCCTTTGCGGCTGTTCGCAGCAAGCAGTTTCAGGAGCTGGGTATCCAAGGTCCCATTGGAATAATCATTAGCGGCGGGAACATCGACCTGTCGAAGCCATTGCCATGGGCCAACGTCCAACCGGATTAAATCGGCGATCTCGGTGCTATTCTGATACCCTTGCATTCACTACACCGTCGTCATCTAACCCTATCGTCGTTCCACCATTATCATACGCAGACACGTTGCGTTGTACCAGTATGAATTTTTGGCACGAAGTATAGCGGCGTTATGGACATATTATCGGTTGGTACTGAAACTGCTGGTAGTAGTATCCGATCGACTTGTACTTCCCGACCCTCGAGAGAGTGGAAAGTATAAGAACCATGCTCCCATTCATGTCCGCCACGCAGCCCACAGCACACCTCGGCACGACGTAACGGTGTTGGAACAGAATGACGGAGGTAGCATTGCGACACATGCTGGGTCAACGGCTATGTATCGGCAGAAGTTTGACCTTCCGCAAGTTCGTTCAGCAATTTGGCCTGCATTAGCCGTGCCAACTGGTCGTTTCCGCAGGCCGCCGACCGCTCACAGGAATCCCGACTTCCGAGGGGACGTCATCCGGAGATGTCGATGAGGACCCGGGACTTGCTTTCAACGTGATAACACCTTGCTGGACATAATCGGGTCGGTACCACTAGCCGACCATTGAAGCTGTTACTGTAATAGAGTCAGTCGGCCGACATCGCAAGCAAGTGGACGCGCGTAAACCGTGAACCTTGCACGACTCCCCGTCGTGCACCGCGGATCCAAGTCACACAGAGTGATACATGTCGTCAGGTGGCTTCATGAATCGGCGGGACGCTCCCTGCGCCTCTTCGGCCGCGCCCGCAGCTAAACGCTGCACCCGAGACCCCCGGTTTGGGGACATGGTTAACCTCAACAAACGGGCGTGACATGCATCATACCATCCACTGGTCGCAGCCGTGGTCGACTCGGCGAGCCCGGTCGACAGACGACGTGCGGTCACCATGAGCGGTCCCGTTGGCTAATACGGTGAGGCGTGCCCGACAGCAGGGCAGTCGACGTCAAACGTGACTCAAGTAGCGAGAAAAATCAAGACAGCATCAACTTTAGATCCTGCCGTGGACGGTCGTCAATACGATGTGAAGGATACACTGCAGATGGATAGTGATGATGATGATATGATGATACGGTATCGGGTACATACAATACAGTGCGCAATCTGTGATAGTCGTCGTCGGGCATAGCGTGGCGTCACGGAGTATAGGGTAGTGTGGGAGGAGTCCAGACATAAGATAACCCCTGAATCTGCATCTGTCGTCGCAACGTAGCATCCTGGCATCCCGGAGAACCAACAGGTAACAAGGGAGAGAAGGCTACCGCACCTCCTTCGGCGGGACCCACTCCGGGATGTTCTTCCAGTCGAACTTCTCGCTGTCGCTCTTGAACGCCTCCAGAGCTGCCTTGGGCACCAAGTCGGCGTAGTTGGGCGGCAGGAGATCGTCGTACTTCGTCGCGCCCGGCCTGTAGAGCTGCTTCTTCCGGGCTGCAGCAAAGTCCGGCTTCGACGACTTCGAGTTCGCTGGTGTGTTCTGGTTCTGTGCGCTGAAGAAACCAGTGCCAGGCCCCGAACTGGACGTCGTCGTGGACATGGCGGAGGGGAAAGATGAGAGGCCCGTGAGCCCGAGGCTGTTAGTCTGGGAAGGCTGGTTGGTCAGCGAACCAAAGACAGACGTGGGTTGTTGCTGTTTTGTCGTCGTGTTGGATGACGTTGAGCCGAACGCAGACTGTGCTGGGGCACTCGATGGTGCACCAAACGCGGACGTGCCGGACGGCTGCCCAAAGGCTGACTGGCCAAAGGCAGACGTCGTGTTCGAGGAGCCACCGAAAGCCGACTGCACTGGCGCAGTAGTCGCCCCGCTGCCAAAAGCCGACGGCGTACTGCTGTTCGTGCCTCCACCAAATGACGACGGCGTACTGCTGCTCGTGCCTCCGCCAAATGACGACTGGCCGAACACAGATCCACCAGGTGCCTTGTTGGACGCCGCGAGCCCGAAGGCTGATGGCTGTCCGCCGGCGAATGCTGAGAATGCCCCGCCGCCGCTACCGCTCCCACCTGCGCCCGTGCTCCCTGACCCCGAGGCCGACGGATTCGCGAATGCAGAGAAGGCGCCGCCACCTGAGCCCGTCGAACCAGAGCCAAACGCAGAGGTTGTCTCGGGCTTCCCCAGCGAGCTCTGCCCGAACGCAGACTGGCCAAAGGCGGATGTTGTCTGTGGCGCCCCGAACGCGGACTGTACAGTGCCCTGCGCCGGCTGTCCGAAGGCTGACGTCGTGCCCCCTTGAGCAGGCTGCCCGAACGCAGAGGTGGTGCTTCCCTGCGCAGGCTGTCCGAACGCCGACGTCGTACTCGTTGATGGTTGCCCGAAGGCAGAAGTGCCACCAGTCGGCTTCCCGAACGCCGACTGGCCAAACGCAGATTGACCGAAGGCGGAGGTCGTAGCGCCAGACGCGGGCTGGCCAAATGCAGAGGTTGTTGCGCCTCCAGCAGGCTGACCGAAGGCTGAAGTCGTAGGCCCGGGCGCAGGCTTACCGAAGGCAGAGGTAGTGGAGCCACTCGCTGGCTGGCCGAACACAGATGTGCCCTGGGCAGGCTGACCAAACGCCGATGTGGTTGCGCCCTGTGCGGGTGCGCCGAAGGCAGATGTCGTGGCACCCGACGCAGGGGCACCAAAGGCAGACGAGGTGCTGCCCTGTACAGGTGCGCCAAAGGCAGACGTTGTTGTGCCCGACGCTGGTGCACCAAACGCAGATGTTGTGGAGCCCTGAGCAGGCTGACCGAACGCCGATCCTCCAGCAGGTTTCCCGAACGCGGACTGGCCAAACGCTGGTTGGCCGAAGGCTGACTGTCCGAACGCGGAGGTGATACCGCTCGTTGAGCCCGATCCGAATGCGGAGGTGGTGCCGTTGTTTGAACCTGACCCAAACGCGGAGGTGCCTGAGCTTCCGGTCCCTCCGCCAAAGGCGCCAAAGGCCGACGGCTTCCCGAACGCGGAGCTGGTTGCGGGTGCACCGAACGCCGACGTGCCGGGGTTCCCGAAAGCAGAGGTTCCTGAGCTCCCGAACGCAGATGAGCCGGGGACCCAGAGTGTAGGGGTGCCATTGGAAGACTGCGCTTCGTGGTTCTTCACGGCATGTGCGTGCAGGCTTTGCAGGCTGGAGCGGGCGGTGGCGAACTGAGCTTGTGCAGCAGCGATCTTGTCCGCCTCATACTTTAACTGTACAACGGGTGAGTTCAGACGCGAACGAAAGAGAGCGAGGGTATGGATAAAGGCAGTGCGTCTTGCACATAGTATGTCCCGCGTGGCATCAGTCGTCCTGTCTCGTTGACATTCTTCTTGCAAAGTATCTCAGCAATGTGGCGCGGACCACACCTGTAACTTATCCGCGGTGCGAGGTGCCAGTCACATATGACCTTTGTTCACAATGTGTCTAGTGCGTATCGACTGAATACACGGGCCAGCTCCCCTTTGACAGTGTATTCAGTCGACCATCACTGAACACATCATGGACAG